AGGGGGTGGGAGGGGGGGAGCATGATGACAAAGAACTAGGGATGGAGCTTTTTGGTTTTTGGGGGGGTTGTTGTTGTTGTTGTTATGGATCCAGCAACAGCTGGGCTCTCGCCCTTCTGTCCAATGCCATGTAGTGATAAGTGCAGGTTTGCTGCAGTTGCTGTAATGTTCCGTAGAGTGTGTTGTCGATGTTAGGTCTCAGAGGGAGAAGGGTAGCCTTTGGGGGGTAGATAGTGGGGTAACTGTAAATGCCACTGTGAGATCCTTCATCCTTTTTCCCCTCTGTCCTCCCTCCTCTCTTACTTTCTCTGGTACTGAGTGATGGTTTTGTATTAGTGTGCTCCTCTTTCCTCGAACGAAGTGTGCAAGAATTATATCTTTTTTTGTGGGTGGTTGGCGGGTTTTCTGGTGTGGTTTGCTCCTTCTTTCCTATCAAACATCTATCGTCCTTACCTCCCCTCCTTCTTTTTTTATGTTTGTTACTCTCTTGTAACACCTCTAATCTTCTGGCGCTCATATGACCTTATGCAGTTGCGAGCGCCGTAAAACCTCTGCTAAAACAAACAAATATCTTTCTTTTTTTTGTGTGTGTGGCCATCCAATGACCATGTTTGTCTTTGTGTGTGTGTGTGTGAGTGTGAGTGAGAAAGAGACAGAGAGACAGTGTGTGTTGACAAGTGTGTGTATGTGTTGACCATGCTGCAGCAAAAATTCCTCTTTCTGGAGATCAAAAAATTGTTATTTCTCATCTTATCCAATCTTATTTTAAACTGTGTCTTATTTCTCTGTGTGTGTGTGTGTGTGTCACAGGTGGATTTTGCCAACCGGTCAATCGGTGGAGGAGTCCTGGGTAGAGGAAGAGTACAGGTGAGGAGGAAACATTACAATTATAACATAATTACATTTACATAACACATATCCACTCTCTTATCATATGCTGTACGCATTTATGCAACTTTTATTACCCTATCGTATGTTGTATGCATATATGCAACTATTATTACCCTATCTATGTTGTATGCATTTATGCAACTATTATTACCCTATCGTATGTTGTACGCATTTATGCAACTATTATTACCCTATCATATGCTGTACGCATTTATGCAACTATTATTACCCTATCGTATGTTGTATGCATTTATGCAACTATTATTACCGTATCGTATGTTGTACGCATTTATGCAGCTATTATTACCCCATCAGACCCTAGAGCACTCGTATACATTCTTGGCTTCCTAGGAAGCATACAGTGCAAGCATCTGGTGAAGCACTTGAAAACTGCCACATTGACAAGATTCTTCACTGACTATAGTTGGGTATCCGTTCACACCTGGGTGAAGTGGAAAAAAAATGTCATGAATTTGTCTCAGTCTTTGTTACTCTTTGTAGTGGAAAGAAAAGAAAATTAGTGAAAAAATTTGATTGTTTCGAGGCAAAGGTAAGACCAAGAAAAAGAGTCAAATGCACAACACGGGGACCCAAAAGTCAACACACAAACTTCGTGCTCAGCAGTTACATCTTCTCTCCACACCAGACCATCATTGATTTATTTATAGAGGCACCGATTCTCTCCACACCAGACCATCATTGATTTATTTATAGAGGCACCGATTCTCTCCACACCAGACCATCATTGATTTATTTATAGAGGCACCGATTCTCTCAACACTTTGTGGTGCTGGAGGACAGAAAAAGTAAGAAAAGTTTTTTAAAAATTCATAAATAAATAAAGTAGGCAAGGGGTAGACCAAAAAGAAGGAATAGGTGAGTGAGGGTAAAAAAAAATAAATCATGATGACATAATATAGGCTCTTGAGAGTATTGAGCAGAAAAAATGTAGGTGGTTGGCGGGTGCTCTGGTGGGGTTTGCTTCTTTTTTCCTTTCAAATGTCTATCGTCCTTATCTCCCCTTCTTTTTTTTAATGTTTGTTACTCTCTTGTAACACCTCTAATCTTCTTGGGCTCATATGACTTTATGCAGTTGCGAGCGCCGTAAAACCTCTACTAAAAAAAGCAGAAAAAATAAGTGTTGCATCATGATTGCTGATGTTTGTTTTGTAAGTGGGATTTGGAAAAGGAGAAGAGTATTGGATCTTTGCTATTATGGGGTTGTTGTTTTTTTTAACCTTTGGTAGAGTAGAATCTGTGCTATTGTAGATTTTTTTTTTTTTATCTTTGGTAGTGTGGAACCTTTGCTAATGTTGCTCTTAATCTTTGGTAGTGTGGAACCTTTGCTAATGTTGCTCTTAATCTTTGGTAGTGTGGAACTTTAGCTATTATGTTTGGGGTTTTTTTTAATCCTTTTATAAGGCAGAACTTTTTGGGCTTTCCTTTTTTAACCTTCGGTAAGTGGTAAGTGTTTTACAGCGCTCGCTACTGCATAATTTTTAACCTTTAGTAAAATTGGACCTTTCTTATTGTTTGTTTTTTTTAACCTTTTATAGAATGGGGCATCGTGGGCTGTTATGGTTTCAACTCTTTGCAGTGTTGACACTTTGCCTGTCTTTTTTTTGTGCCTTCCTCTATACTCTTGTGTAGAACATGAACTTGAGTAGGAACTTTTGATTTTTGTTGGTTGGGAGTGGTGGGACTCATTGAGTTTCCTTAAGCATTTTGGTATTTGGTCGCTTTTAAGCAAAAGGGGACTATCCCGGAAAATGCTGTTTTGAGAAAATCGAAGGTAAAGTTTTTTCCCCTTGTTCAGTTTCTATAAAAGACAAGGAGAGTTTTGTCTATAACCAAACAAATTTACGCACCAAAGAAACCAAACTTCAATAGGTAGGGCAATGCCCACTTTTGTTGTAGGTCAAAATTTCTTGAAACCCCCGAAATCTGGGTTAACCCGCTTGTCCTTAAAAAGCGACCATTTATCGTATGAGTTGTTGTAGATGGGGTCGAATGCTCTGCATGTTAATGTGCATCAGTATAGATAGATTCTTAAATTTCTTATTAGCATTATTGATGTTGTTGTTATTAGTATTGTTATTATGGTTATTATATTTTAATTAAGTTTGGTTGTTTGTTTGTTTTTTTGCGGTCATAGGAAGAAATCAAGTTCAGCACGTGCCCCGAGCTGATAGCGGCCATGTTGTTTATGGAGAACATGGAGGACAATGAGTCGATGGTGATCTCGGGCTTTGAGCAGTTCTCAGTGTGCACGGGCTACGCCGAGTCGCTGCAGTTTGCGGGACATTTTGAGGGGCAGGCGGAGGTAAGTTTTTGTGTGGGGCCTCTTCTTAGACCTGCATGTTTGCCGACAATCGTCTGAAATCCGACAATCGCGACCCGACCTGCGAACCGGCCGATGCTATCGCTAGGCCCGCCTGTATCAGTCAATGTGCGTAGTGCGAGGCTTGGCCGACTGCCAGCGACCCCTTTTTCTCCCGTCGGCTTCGTCGGCACTTTCGTTTTCGTGCCGACCGCCGACGCGCGCACCGCCGACTGCCGACGTCGGCGTTTCCGACATAATTGTCGGAACCTAAGTAGAAATGCGAATACGAAAAAGGAGGACAACTTAAATTATCTACTTTCAGTTTCGTGCTCGAGCGGCCATTTTGAATTTCGTTTGTTGACTAATTCAATTGTTCAGATCGTGTGGATTCATTCAAGTCCGACTCTCTTGTTCTAATAGAATATAGATCTAAAATCTAGATTTATATAGATCTAGATCATTATAGACCTCAATGGAGGATTCAGATTCCAATTCTATTGTGTCAAACCCTATCACAGGTTGTGCTGCAATATTAATATTGGTAAAAATAAGCATTTCATCAGGTGCGTGAATTATTTATTTATTTAGACTCAGCTGAGTCCCTCTGTTCGGAATCGGATGCGGATTTCTAGTTCAAGGCCTATTCCTATTCACTTGTTCTACAAGATCTAGATCTAGATCTAGATTTATTTAGATTACTAAATCTAGATAGATGGAGGATTCATATTCCAATTCTATTGTGTTATTGTATCAAACCCTATATAGTTATAGCAATGTAGATGTAAGCCATATAGATCTAGATCTAGAATCTAGATCTATGCTCCTTGTTTGTTTTGGAGTGTGGTTTTTTAATTAAACATTTTTTTTTTCATTTAGGACTTGTTTTGGCCTTTTTACATGAGGCCCGTTGCAGGTTCTTTTTGGGGGTAGGGTTAGGGTTAGGTCTCTTCTTTATTGTGTTTGTTGGGGTGGTCGCTCGTTACTCGGATGTCCTTCCTTATGACACCCACAAAGGCTTTTTTTTGGGGGGGGGGGGGGGGGGTTGCGCAAAATTTTCAGACAATCTGGTTGAGGCTCACATGCAGGTCTATCTTCTGTCAGGCCAAGGCTAGTGTGTCACACACAACATTTAGGGGGCTCTCGTGGCCTAGAGGTTAAGGTGTTGGCCTCTCATTCAAAGGTCCCGCGTTCGAATCCAGGTAGCGACCAAAAAATGTTCTTACCTAAAATTGTCTCCTTTCACCTCCTTTCCTGCTCTCTAGCCCTCACCTCCTTTGCCCCCTCCTCTGGGCTCCTGACTCTTTCTGCAGCCTTTCTACTGCTACTCCTTGGCTCCTCCTTACTGCTGTCTTTCTGCCACACCCCTGATGTTCTGGTAGGAAAGATCTACACCTAGCCTTCTCGGACAAGGGCGAAAAATCTCGGAGGGCCCGTGTGCAAGTTGCGCACATTAAAGATCCCTTGGTGGTCTAAAATCGATAAGAGTAGGCTTCGGCCGCCACCCGCGCAAAATTCAAAATTTCCTACTACTGAAAATATTAGGTGTGCCCTGCACGCTCATATGACCTTATGCAGTTGCGAGCGTCGTAAAACACTTTACAAAAACAAAAACAGACAGAACATTTTTTTTAAGCTGGACCCCGTGTGTTAGGAATCTTATTTTTCTTATACTGAGAAAATGCAAAATTCAAAACGCAACTAGTGGGAGGTTGGTGAGAACTCTGGTGTGGTTTGCTCATTCTTTCTTTTTTCAAACATCTATCGCACTTAACTATCCTTTTCTTTGTATGTAATTCTTGAGTAACACTTCTGATTTTCAACACTTAAATGACCCATTTATGTGCTGCAAGTGCTGTAAAACTCTTCCTTCCTGAAACAAATCTTGTAATTTTATGATAAATAAAAAAAACAACAACAAAAACCCAATTGCAATGAAATGAAATTACAGTAACTTTGGGGTTAAGATTTCTTTGACACTGCCAAAGCCCATGTCTCAGCTCAAGTGTGTTGACGAAACCGGTTTGCTCCGCAGGGCGACGTGGAGAACAACCGCCTGGTTGCCATGGACGCAGTGTCGTACCGAGGAGGCCCCCCGTCGAGACAGTACGGGGAGACGGCGCTCACGAGGGACCTCAACAAGGCTCTCATCGGGTTCAGCAGGACCGTGGGAGGCCGGCTGTTTCCACCGCCACGGGATGAGGGCTCTAGAGGTGAGAGACCAGAGTTCTCACACACACGGGCAGACCCATGCGCTCACAGACACACACACGTGCGTGCGTGCACAGACACGCACACGTGCACACAGGTGCACACACACAAACACTCATAGACACACCCTCATAAACACACAAACACACACATATTTGCACAGGTGCACCTCACACTCATACTCATAGACAGACACACATAGACATGCACACACACTGACACACAAACGTATGCACAGGTGCCCATGCACACTTGTAGACGCACACACACACACACACTCTCTCTCTCATAGACATACGAACATACACACGCATTCATGGGTGCACACACACAAATCAAGTATCTCGGTCTTTCTGCTGGTATACTGTATTCCTCTCAGCTTGGGTTAGCCTTGACATGCAGTGTCGAAGTCTGCCTTATAAATGATCAAAATTTTGTCAATGGGACGTGTGAAAACACATTAGATTTTTTTTCTTCTTTTTCCTCTTTTACCAGGTGAAGCTGAAAGTGCGGGTTGTTCTACCCTCGTGGGAGAGCCCATGACAAGTCACTCATCATCCCACCAGCAGCAGCATTCTCGTCGTGATGGTTCATCGAAACATCAGCATCATCATCCTCAACATCCGCAGCAGCAGCAGCAACAACAACAGCGCTTCCATACTCTCCAGCAGTCTCTAGAATCCCCAGGGGGAGGCCACTCTGGTAGAAGATCGTCTGGTCCTCGGTCACAGACCGACAGAGGTTCTGCCCCTTGCCACCACCTGACGCCCCTCTGCCGAGTGGCAGGGGACCCTTCGGATTTACCTCCCCCTTCAAGCGGGCTTGCCAGTTCCACAGAATTACCTCCCTTTGCTGGTGGGATTGCAGCAGAAAGCAGGATATTATCTCCCCCTTTCAACACGCTTGAGTCGGAAACTGATGGACAGATGTGCATGGATATTTCTCCGTCTTCGTCAATACTCCCAGCACAGATATCTCCTCTTTCCTCTGTCGTCGTGTCAGTTTCTTCCGAGACAAACCCACACTCTGACCGTGTCGGCGAAATCACGGTTCCAACGAGCATTTCTCTGACCAGCTCTTTGTCAGAATGGGACAGGCCAGTGCCGCCTTATGCTGCGCAGGATCACGTTGCTGCTCCTTTCTCTTCCACTTCCACGTTTGCTCAACAAAAACAACAACAGCAACAACAAATCTCGCTTCCCCGGTCACTGGATTCGAACCTTCCCTCCCCAGGTTTGGGCGGAGAACATGCGCTGCAGTCGGATATTTCTCAGCTGGATGTTTCTTCAGCCGGTGCAGCTGCTGCAGCTGGTGTCGACTCCGAGCGTCTGGTTGAGCCTCGGGAAAGTGAAGAAACGGTATTTCCCCACAGCAAACTAAGTGCCTTTCAAAGTATTCCTTCTTTAAGCGTTGAGGAACATCACGATGTGTCCTCTGTCAGAGGTCGAGAGTTAGCGTCGTCGTCGTCGCCATTGTTATTTCCCACGTCGTCGCCGGATCTCCAAACTCAGTCAGATTTGTCCGAGATGTTTCGTAAAGGGTTGCGCAGCGATATTCTGGGTAACTTGAAGAAAAAGAGCTCGCAAGAGCCGCGAGAACGTTGGTTGAAGTCGTCATTTTCTGTTCCAGTGGAGCGAGGGGGAAGAGGACTCGTGAGAACAGGAAGTGGATCTGTCGCCGCGTCGGATTCTGCTGCGTCTTATTCTTTGTCGAGAGATGTAAGTCAAGAGACGCCGGGATCGTTGGAGTCGGAGGAAGTGAAGATGATTTGTAAGCTTGGGACGAGTAAGGAGGAGGAGGTGGAAGAGGGTGCAGGGGAGAGTTTCTGCAAACAAAGCAGATTGTCGTCACGTGCTGTTGCAGATTTGGAGGTTGATCAGCAGGTACGTGGATCTGTTCCTCCCCCTCCTCCTCCTCCTCCTTCTCACCTGCACCACTACAGGAAGACAGGGGTCGGAGGGATAGAGAGAGCGGGCTCAGAGATGTCCAACTTTTCCATGATGGTCAATCTCGACTCTCGCAGCGTCTCGGCCAACTCCACTGAAGAGGAGGGTCAACACCTTCTTCCCAAACGAACGGACGTCGATTCGGCAATGGTATCGGTGGCCACCATTTCTGGTCAATACGCTTCGGCCACTACAGTAAGTCCCCAAGGTCCTGGTGGCGCGGGTTCGAATCTGGGTTGTAATTTGACTGGTCGCATGGTAGAACCAGAGGTATCGTCGGAGATGCCTTCTCCAGATTTGTCCTCGCTGAGTGCGTCTCCCAACACAAACTTTGTGGCTGTCCCTCAAACGTTTTATCGCGAGCCTCTCAATGGTTCGAATGATGCTCACGTCACCGCAGATTTTTTCATCGCAGACGAGGACGGCTCGGACCAACGAGATCTGTCCGCGGAACTAAGACAACACATTCTTCAACAACATCAACAACAACAACATCGGCAAGAGCAACAACAGCATCAACAAGAGCCAAGAAACGGATCCCGCGACATCTACACGGAGCTCCGAGAGTTCCTCTCTTCCTCCAGCGCCGGTTCGCGCAGTTCGGGTTCGGGCGGGCCTCTGTCCAGCGCCAACTCGGCCTGGGGCTCCCGCTCGGGCTCCCTTTCCTCCCACGGGACCAACGGCTCCACCAACGACTTCCTCGAGTTCTGGAGTCACTTCAGACGCCGGAGTTCACAGTACAGCGACGCCACGTCGCGACGGTCGAGTTCCAGCAAACATAGCTCCGACTTCAGCACAGACCTAGAGGTGAAAACCCACACTGTTCTCTCTCTCTCTCTCTCTCTCTCTCTCTCTCTCTCTCTCTCTCTCTCTCTATCTATCTATCTCTGTGTGTGTGTGTGTGTATTTGAGAATGCTGAAGAAATGAGTCACTTCTCGCAATCTGTGAATGGAGATATTGACAGAAAATGGACACCGGCATCGAATCTGTAGATTTAACATGTCTTTTATTATTTCATATTAGTAGATTCTAGAAACTTCACCCATAAATTTGACATATCTGTTTCCATGGGGCTAAAATTGGAGAAGTAACTCATTTTGTCATCACCCCTCTAACATGTAGTTCTGTTCTATTTTTAGCACAGAATTTGTCATTTTTGTTTGTGGAAAATTCTTTCTTTGGACCTTCTGTATCAGAATGTGTCATGTTTGTTTTTAGAATGTGTCATATCTTTGACCATCTGTGTCAGAATGTGTCATCTTTGTTTGTAGAATGTATCATATCTTTGACCATCTGTGTCAGAATGTGTCATCTTTGTTTGTAGAATGTATCATATCTTTGACCATCTGTGTCAGAATGTGTCATCTTTGTTTGTGGAATGTGTCATGTCTTTGACCATCTGTGTCAGAATGTGTCATCTTTGTTTGTTGAATGTGTCATATCTTTGACCATCTGTGTCAGAATGTGTCATCTTTGTTTGTAGAATGTGTCATATCTTTGACCATCTGTGTCAGAATGTGTCATCTTTGTTTGTAGAATGTATCATATCTTTGACCATCTGTGTCAGAATGTGTCATCTTTGTTTGTGGAATGTGTCATGTCTTTGACCATCTGTGTCAGAATGTGTCATCTTTGTTTGTAGAATGTGTCATATCTTTGACCATCTGTGTCAGAATGTGTCATCTTTGTTTGTAGAATGTGTCATACCTTAGTCCATCAGTCACAGAGTGTGTCTCTTTTTTTATTTGTTTGTGGAATGTTCTTCCCCTAAACCACCGGTCTAAGAATAGAATGAAAGAAGCCTAAATGGGTCACTCGCTGATGAGAACAATTAGGAAGCGACAAATATGGTTACTTCATCCAATAGAAAAGCATTGCTGAAGATCTCTCTCTCACTAGGAAGGTAGAAGACGTGGAGAAAGTTATTTGTAAAACCTGAACTGACGGGTGACCCGGAAACGCCCAGAATAATGCACCCCACCAGGGCAGTGCTACTGACTAAATTGTCTTTAGGCCATTTCCAAAGGGAGGATATTAATATGTTTTTATTCCCAAAAGGGTGTAAGCGGCGGATAAAAAAAAAAGTTTTGCACAGTAGAATTGTACATGGGCTGATTTATCAATGTCAGGCTCATACTGTGCCAGAACAACATAGGGGGAACTGCTGCTTTTTCTTTCCTCATCCTTACTTTCATAACTTTTCCTCTGCTTCTTTTGTATGTTTGTCACCCTCTTGTGAGCTGCTATTTCCGGGGTGCTTTGATAGTCGAAGCAGACTTAATGTTTTTGAGGCTAGAGAGGTGAGCAGGGTAAGCCTGATTCCCCGTTTGGACTTCTCTATTGACATCCACCCCTTTGGCGCTCATATGACCTTATGCTGTTACGAGCGCCGTAAAACCTTACTAAAAACCAAAAAAAACAAACAACCACCTGTCTCTGAATGAAAGAAGCCCAGGCAGACCACTCGCTGATGAGAACAATTAGGAAGCGACAAATATGGTGACTTGATCCGAAAGAAAAGCATTGATGAACATCTTTCTCTCACTAGAAAGATAGAAGGCAAAAGACGAAGGGGCAGACCTGGTGAAAGTTAGTTGTGAGGCAGCGTGGTGGAGAATCAGGGGCTCGTCAATTTTGGGGCACATGGAGTTATTGGTACCATCTTAAAGCTGTTTATTTTTCTTCCTTTCAAGTAAAAAAACATCAATTTATGTTGAATGCAAGACGAGATATTCACGATTGAAACAAGTAGGGGTCGCCCGATTTCAAAGGTAAAATTAGCGAGAAAATGGCTGCCAAAGTTTGATGACTTTCAAAGCTTGAGAGTCCTTGGAAACTGTAAATTTACCTATTTGTGTCTTTAATCAACGTTTTTAAGTAAAACTCACACAGCAAATTGTTTTAAATGGACATAAAAAGTACTCAGCCAAAAACTAAAAACTCGATAAAAATTGGCGAAGGGAAAGAAAATTGCTGTTTTCTTAAATTTCATTATTTTGACGAGCGCCTGATTTCACCACGCTGCCTCACATTTGGAAAACCTGAACAGGCGGGTGACGGGGAAACGCCCAGAATAACGTGGGATTTTTTTTTTTAGAGCATCCGAGAGCGGAGAAATGAATGAAGAACCATGATCGCAGATATCTAGTCTTGTTTGAAGTCTGGCCCATTATGATGATGTACCGTTAGATGACCTGTTGTAGGGTATGGGTGGTTGGAGGGTGCCACTGGTAGATCTTTCGTTTGACTGTCCCTCTGTTGTTTCTTTGAATATTTCTATGTGTTTTTGCTTTTTTCCCCTTTCTGTAAATGGCAGTTGTGTAGTCAGTGTGCTTCTCTTTATTTGTACAATGTTTGACCTTTGTTTGCAGTATGCTATGCTATGCCCTTAAGCAACCTGTTATAGACAGTGAGTTCTTGGCTTACCGTACCGTACCTGTGGTTGGGCGTAGATATCGGCTTTCATTGTATATAATATATATATATATATTTGTGTTCTTTAGTTTAGTTTTAGTAGAGGTTTTATGGCGCTCGCAACTGCATAAGGTCATATGAGCGCCAGAAGATTTTGTCAATTTTGTTCTCTTTCTTTATAGAATGGACTTTCGTTGCCTGCTGTGTGCCATACCCTTAGATTCCGTGTCTTAGAGTGTATGATCTTTTCTTACCGCATGTGATTTCCCTAAGGCTTGCCATATATAGATGATCAAGAGCCATTTGATTTCCATATGTTAGTCTAGAATCTAGAGGCCTGCCATATGAAATGTGCAATCTTATCTTACCTATACTAGTTATTACCCCTAGACCTAATATTGTACTGATTGTGCAATCTTATAATGTGTGTCATGACGCGGTGGATTCAGGCTCTCGTCAGTGTTTGGACATGTGGAGTTAGTTATTGGTATCTTCTTAAAGCTTGTTCGTTTCTCTCATTTTTGATGCAAAATACCCATCTGTCTTGAATGGAAATTGGGATATTTCACATTTGTGATTGAAGGAGATGGGGTCACCTGGTGTCAAGGAGAGAATGGCTGCCAAAATTTGGTGACTTCCTAAGCTTGAGTGTCCTTGGAAATTGCAAATATACATTTTTTTGTGCCTTTGATCAGCATGTTTCAGTAAAATCCATACACATGGAAATGTGTTTTTAAACGGGAAAAAAAAATTGATCAAAATTTCCTAGGGGGAGGAAAATGTTTGTGTTTTCTTATTTCATTATTTGTGAGGCAGCGCGGTGGAATCAGGCACTCGTCAATTTTTGAGCATGTAGAGTTGTTGGTATCATCTTAAAGCTTGTTCACTTGTGTTAATTTGGATGAAAAAAATATCCGTTTATCTTGTATACAAGTCGAGATATTTGCGAATGAAGGAGGTGGGGGGGCACCTGTTTTCAGAGGTAAAATTAGTGAGAAAATGGCCGCCAAAGATTAGTTATTTATTAGCTTTAGAGTCCATGGCAACTGAAAATTTACACTTTTTGTGCTTTTAATCAACGTTTTTCAGAAAAATCCACCCAGAAATGAGTTTTTTAATGGGCACGAAAGGTGTGGAGCCAAAAAACAAAATTTTATAAAAATTCACAAACCTGTGGAAAAATGCAAGTTTCTTCACTTTGATTATTTTGACGAGAGCCTGATTCCACCACGCTTCCTCACATTTTGATGAGCGCTTGATTTCACCCCCATGCGTCACATGATAGTACGTTCTATTCTTAGACCACCTGCTTTGGAGAGAGTGGGTTATTTGCTTTTAATGCACTTTAGTTCCTTTTTAGCCTCACCCATCATACCCTTGTGTGTGTGTTTGACCCTCTTCTGTTCTGTGTTATCCCGCTACATTTCAGACGTTTGTCTACTCTCGTCAGGAGATTGCCGAGGGACTACCACCGCAGCCGCACCAACAGCAACCGCAACAACCACAACATCACCACAGTCACGGGGTGATAGAGGAGGAGGGAGGGCTGGTCACCCTGTTCTCCGACTTTGCCTCGCAGTTTGTGTCGGTCGCCATGGTGAAGGGTGTGGCCGGTGGAGCCTGTGTGGGGCCTGTCGCCGGGGGGATGGGGGAGGCTGATGTTGGACATGTGTCTGATGTGGTAGGGGAGGCTGATGTTGGACATTTGGCTGATGTGATGGGGGAGGCTGATGTTGGACATGTGGCTGATGTGATGGGGGAGGCTGATGTTGGACATTTGGCTGATGTGGTGGGGGAGGCTGATGTGGGACACCGCGCCGCTGATGAGGTGGGGGAGGGAGTTGAAGGAGTGGTTGGTGCAGGTGTGGTTGTAGTGGACAATCATGCTACCTCCGGTCCGGCCGGGCGAGGATGTGTGGTAGTTGTTGCTGGCGCTGGTGGGGACGCGGATTCCGCCTGGGATCAAAAAGAAGAAGAGAAAGGAACAGAGGAGGACCAGCCTCTGGAGAGTGCAGATGTTGCTGGTAAAGCTGTGGTAGATGATGATGATGCTAAATGTGCAGAATTCGAAAGACAAAAAGTTGACAAGGAAGCTGTTGTCGAGACTGGGACCGTGCGCTCGGAGAGTAGGTCAACCGTACCTTCGGGGGCCCACCAGCGCGGAGGTGGTGTCGCCAAGACCAGCACCTTAACCAGACAAGAAAACGTAAATCTGGATCTGTGCGAAGGAGACGGTGGTGAAAAGAAAGGTGAGGTGCCAGGACTCGACGATACTGCTCAAGCGGTAGATGATGTGTCAAAGGGTTTGGATTTTAGACACAGCTCGAAGGTTCACAGTGGAGCCAAAGCTGATGATGTGTTAGCCGAGCAAGTGACCTTGAAAAGTACGGAGGATGCAAATGTTGCACAACGAAGCGTGAGAAGCTCGAAGGTCCCTCAGCCACTTACTATACTGCCACCATCATCAGCGCCACCACCGCCGTCCCCTCTCAAACCCCCGACCTTCACCAGCGTCGTTGGGTCGGAGGTCGCGCCAGAAGTTCTCACCCCGGCGGCGCAGTCCCCCCGCGTCAGACAGCTGCGGGGCCAGCCTCCACTTCCGTCGCCAGAGGGCGGGGGCGCCTGTCCTTCACCTTGGCACGGCAGTCTCGACTCTGGTTTCGGCTCAGGGAAATCTTCTGTGGCCAGCGTGAGTGTTTGCGAAGCGGATGTCCTGTTGTCCTTCGTGGTCCCATCTGATGGGGGTGGGGGTGCTGGCGGTGGGAGGTCAGCGGCCGAAATGTCTTCCTCGAATACTCCAGTTTTTGTCGATGAGGATGACCTTGGGACTCATGGTGGTGACCTTCAAACTCATGGTGATGACCTTGGGACTCGTGGTGGTGACCTTCAAACTCGTGGTGATGACCTTGAGACTTGCGGGGGTGACAACGTGACTCATGACAGTGACCTTGGAACGCTTCCGGCTGTTTCCACAACAGCAACATCCTCTGCTGCTGCTCTGCCTGTTGCTACTGCGACGGTACAAAACATTCTCATGACCACTGAGCAGGCGGGAGAGAAGAGGACTTTGTATGCAACGCTGGAGACAAAGACCATTTATTTTCCGGAGGAAAACGTCGTGCGTCCCGTTGTCAAGAAAAAATCTGGAGATGGAAATCCTCGTCCTACTGCTCCACGTCTGCAGCCGTCCTCGCCCCATGCTGCCTCGGAAAAGTCTGTCCGCACTCAGCAGCCGGCTTCCTCTTTGACGGCGGGCTCCCGCATCCCGCTAGCCTCTCCGTCTTCGCCGTTGTCGGGTTTGAGCGAGGACAGAGGGAGGAGTCGTCACAACGACCTTCAAAGGAAAAAAGAGGCGGTGACCGGCTCTGCGAAGTCATCGGGAAGCGGTGGAGCGAATGCGAGAAGGGTATCGCGGCCGACCTCCCAAACTGGTGGTTCTGGGCGGAGTGTGAAAACCGGTGCAGTACCTGTCAAGTCTGTGACTGCCGTCTCCTCCTCTCCCCCTTTCTCAGCAGCAGCTTCGTCGTCTTTGTGTGCGGAAAGCAAAAGTGTGGCCAGAACCCCTGTGGGCATTCCCACACTCAAAGTGACAGCTTCGAGGAGACGGGAAACAGAGTCAAAGGTCAAGGCCAAAGATACGGGTTCGTCGAAGAGCAAGGATTTGGGCTCATCTAAGGGAAAAGAATCGAGCTCATCGAAGGGGAAAGATTCGAGCCCCTCCTCGAAGGTGAAATCTGTACCTCCTGTTTCTTCGGGAAAATCTTTGCCCCCACCGCCAGCTCCCCCTCCACAGTCTCAGTGTGAGAAAGGCGGCCATGTTGGGAGGAAAAGTGACAAGTCTAGCGGCTCCCCGTCCAAATCTAAGGGAAATGTTCACAAGAAGAAGAGCAGCGTGGAGAGGTTGTTCAATCCTCACAAGAGCCGGTACATCTGCTCCGACGTGGCCCCGCCTCTCGTCGACAGAAAACCCAGAGGGAAGACTGGCTCCTCGTCCTCGTCAATGCGGGTGTCGGCGTCCTCGGGGAGGGTTGCGTCGTCGGGAAGTAGACGGAGGGAAGAGAGGAATTCGGGGAGGAGAGAGGAGAGGAATTCGGGGAGGAGAGAGGAGAGGGGTTTGCGGAAGGCTGGAGAGGAGGGGAGGAGGAAGAATCAGGTGAAGGAGTTTACTACAAAGTCTCCGAGGTTTGTACGGTTCGTCAACTCGTTGGCCGAGCGGGCCCTGAGTCAGGCCGTGCTGGAAGGGGCGGAGCTTGTCGCGCAGCCGTCCCCCTCTTCCGTTGCTGCCGGTGTTGATGGGGGTGCACGGGAGAAGTCGCAACGAGACCTTGTCCCAGAGGAACTATTTAACTGGTTCGCGAACAAGATCATCCATGAGGTGTTTTTTCACGTTGTGAGCGAGTTGGAGGCCAGAGAATATGACGAGCAGACTGGCAGAACGATACAACGATATCAACAGCATAGCCAACACCACCATGGGGCTGATGGGATAGCCACAGCCAGCGTCGATCAGGGAGCAGGAGGTGCGGCAGCCAGCCTCCTAATCCCACCATCGCTCTCAGCATCGTCGGTGCGGGGCTCTGAGAGTCCGTGTGGAGCACAGTCCGTAGTGGTCACAAACAGCTACCCCACCCCTACATCTCTGTCAGATTCGAACCCAAACCTCAAGCCTTCAGCAACGGGGGATAGTGGCGGTGTGCAAAACGTGAAAGTTTCACCGTCAATGTCGAAGACTGTCTCGTTTCAGGACTGCGGACCACGAAGGGATGATGATGATGACAACAACTACAGCTACCACCACCCTCACCGCCACCGCCACCACTTCAGCGATGATGACGATAATGATGATCGTGAAGTAAAAGAATCCTCCGAGGTTTCTCAACCGGTGCACATTCCGCTGACCGTCAACATTTCTCCTTCCTCTTACCCGGCAACGGCGGCAGGCGCCTGGCGACAACAAAGTAGCGGTGCCGGCGTTCTTCTGTCGTCCTCTGAACTAAGCAATACAGACTTGTCTTCCACCTCGCCCCCGTCCTCCAAACCCACAGCGGCGACGACCGCCGGCCGACAGCCATCAGAACACCCTCCACACACCTCCTCGTCCTCCTTAACCGTCTCCTGTCCGTCCCCCTCCTCTTCACAACGCCAAGCTCCTCCAACAACAACAACCACCACCACAAGCAGCAGCAGCAACGCGGGGGCTGGTGCGTCAAACACGCCCCCGCCTACCTCCGACACCCCCCAGCCCCCTGCGGCCCCACCGCTACGCCACAGTCGGTCACTTTCCGAGTTCCGGGGGTCGGCCAGTCTGACCCCCGCTGACCTGTGCGTGGACGTGTATCAGACAGCGGCCACCATCGTGAGCCAGGTGTTCCAGTCCATCTCGGAGCGGGGGGTGGTCGACCTGCAGGCTCTCAGCCCGTCCTCCGTCTCCACACGGAGGGGAACTGGATCATCCGCCGACACGGGCTGCCACTCGACCGGTAAGTGTAGTAGTGACGGACATATACACACATGTACATGTGTGCGCACATGTGCACGTGCAAACACACGCACACACACAGACATATCGCGACCTCAGTGATTTCTTGTCATATCTCCATTTTTTTAAAACCGTGAAAATGTGATTTCTTCTTATGCTCCCGCTTTGTTATGAACTGGGTTTTTTTCACTGTTTAACAAAATGGAGATACAACAAGAAAGCACTGAGGTTGCAATATGTGCATGTACACGCACTCAGAAACACACACATAGAGGATGGGTGGTTGACAGGTACTCTGGTGTGGTTTGCGCAGTCTTTATCTCCTATCAAGCGTCTATCGTCCATATCTGTCCTCATTTTTTTGGTTTGTTACTCTCTTGTAACGCATCTAATATTAAGCTCTTATAAGACCTTATTGTGTCGCAAGTACTTCGCCTCTAACATTTTCTCCTCTTCTCCCCTCTCTCCCCCGCCCCACTCTCTCTCTCTCTCTCACATTGTGTCCATCCACAGGCAGCAGATACCACCGCCAGTACGACAGCTTCGCCTACATCTTCCCCTCCTCTCCCCTCTTAATATGCCCCCTGCCTCCCCCTCTTTCTCTCTCTCTCTCTCTCTCTTTTACTCTCTCCCACACTCTCATTCACTCACACTCTCTCTCCATCCACAAGCAGCCGATACCACAGCCAGTACGACAGCTTCACCTCCAACATCTTCTCCTTTTCCTCCACCTATACCCCCCTCCCTCTCTCTCTCTCTCTCACTCTCTCTCTCTCTATCCCTCTCTCTCTTTTACTCTCTCCCTCACTATCATTCACTCACTCTCTCTCTCCATCCACAGGCAGCCGATACCACAGCCAGTACGACAGCTTCACCTCCAACATCTTCTCCTCTTCCTCCACCTATACCCCCCTCCCTCTCTCTCTCTCTCTCTCACTCTCTCTCTCTCTCTATCCCTCTCTCTCTTTTACTCTCTCCCTCACTATCATTCACTCACTCTCTCTCTCCATCCACAGGCAGCAGATACCACAGCCAGTACGACAGCTTTGCCTCCAACATCTTCTCCTCCTCCTCCACCAAAGCTTCGGGCAGCCCTAAGCGGGCGCGTCGCTCCATGTCCCCGAGCATCGGCGTGTTCTCCCGCAAGCCCATGAGTCGCGAGACCTTGACCAGCGCGTTCCTGCGTGTGGAGGCCACGCCCAGCGTCAAGTCGTACGAGCGAAGGAGCAGCGAGCCGTGCCAGACCAGCGTACATCTGTCGCTGCAGGCGTTCAACAACAATAAGTTCAATACCAAGGCCGTGGAAGGTATGTTGTGTGTGTGTGTCTGCATGTGTGTGTGTGTGTGCATGTGTGTGTGTGTCTGTGTTGTTTCAAGTTGATGGGTTTTTTTGCTGGCCTTTTATAACTTTGTAAGACACACACACACTCACACACACACTCACACACACACACACTTAATGGCCATTATGTTAACTCTAAGTCAATCTTGTTGCTGCAGAGAAACACCCTTCAGATCTGCCACACGGATGGCAAAATCGGCTGGAAAACAGTGCTGTAAATCTCTTACTATAACTACTCTGACTGTCTTCTTGTGGGTGGTTGACGGATGCTCTGGTGTGGTTTGCTCCTTCTTTCCTATCAGACTCCTAACACCGTAATCTCTGCTCCTTTCTTTTTTCTTTTTTTTTGTTGCTACACTCTAATCTCTGGCACTTATGCGACCTGTTTGTGTTGCAAATCTTATGAAAACTTAAACTCTAACCCTATCTAAACTAACACTACCAAGAATAACCTGCACATCATTTCCCTAAATTACAGTAGCAATTTCTTTGTTACCGCCATTGTCATCATCATCATCATCATCATCATCATCATCATCATCATCATCATCATCATCATCATCATCATCATCACAGACCAAACAATTCCCTTTTTTTTTTCTTGAAGCCTAACAGTCTGCACCATGTTGGCACATTTTTTACATAGCCTTCAACTGTCGGCACAAAAATCAGGAAACAGGTCAAACAAAAACATAACCTCTAACTCTCATCCCCTCACCACAGAGAAACAGCGCAAGATCTCCCGCACGGATGACGACATCGGCTGCCACAGGACCTGGCGGCGAGGCTCGCTTGACGGCTTCTCCTTCGAGCGCCGCAACTCGTGCGGCTTCAAGGACCCCGTTCTGTCGCGGTTTGCCGAGGAGCTGATGAAGGCAGACACGTCGGTCCCCGAGCTGGTGATTGTGGGTTCGCACCCCAGCTCCTCCACCACTGGTGTGTTCGGGTTTTTCTTTTGGGTTTAGATTTTGTTTGTCAGAACGTGTGTGTGTTTTTGTGTGTGGGTATAGAAGTTGTGTGTGTGTGTTTTTGTGTGGGTATTGAAGTTGTGTGTGTGTGTTTTTGTGTGGGTATGGAAGTTGTGTGTTTGTGTACACATGCGTGCATGTGTGCCTCTGTGTGTGTGTGTTTGTGTACACATGTGTGCCTCTGTGTGTGTGTGTTTGTGTACACATGTGTGCCTCTGTGTGTGTGTGTTTGTGTACACATGCGTGCATGTGTGCCTCTGTGTGTGTGTGTGTTTGTGTACACATGCGTGCATGTGTGCCTCTGTGTGTGTGTGTGTTTGTGTACACATGCGTGCATGTGTGCCTCTGTGTGTGTGTTTGTGTGTTGGTATGGAAGTTGTGTGTGTGTGTTTGTGTACACATGCGTGCCTCTGTGTGTGTGTTTGTGTGTTGGTATGGAAGCTGTGTGTGTGTGTGTGTGTGTGTACACATGTGTGCCTCTGTGTGTGTGTTTGTGTACACATGCGTGCATGTGTGCCTCTGTGTGTGTGTTTGTGTGTTGGTATGGAAGTTGTGTGTGTGTGTTTGTGTACACATGCGTGCCTCTGTGTGTGTGTTTGTGTGTTGGTATGGAAGTTGTGTGTGTGTGTACACATGTGTGCCTCTGTGTGTGTGTTTGTCGTTAAATGGTCTCACAATTTACATTTTCGTAAATGGTTGGTGGGTGTTCTGGTGTGGTTTACTCCTTTTTTTTTGTACTATGAAACAACTATCGTCCTTGTCTCTCCTCCTTCACCCCCCGGGGCAGCGCCACTGACTGTAGTGTCTTTAGACCATTCCCAAAGGGGGGACATTTCTCGTTCAAGCACAGTAGAATTGTAAATGGGCTGATTCATGTCATGCTCATAACTGTGCCTGATCTACAACAGGGAACTGCTGCTTTTTCTTTCCTAAACCTTACTATTGTCATTTTCCTCTTCTTCTTTTGTATGTTTGTCACTCCCTTGTGACCTGCTATTTCCGGGGTGCCTTGATAGTTGAAGCAGACCTTGTGCTTTGAAGCTAGAGAGGTGAGCAGAGTAAGTCTGATTCCCTCTAAAGACTTCTCTGTTGACACCCACCCCTTGATGCTCATATGACCTAATGCAGTTGCGAGCGCCGTAAAACCCTCTACTATGATAATAATATCTCCTCCTTTCTTTTTTAATGTTTGTTACATCTGTACATGTGATAATTGAACCTTGTGTGTATCCCCCTTCATTAAGCACAAACTCAAAAACAGACCAATCTCTCTCCTCCCTCCCCTCTCCCCCAGGTTCCCGTCGTAGCAGCATCAGCGGCTTCCGCGACATGACCTTGGCCAATCTGGAGAGTGAGCTACTCAACACTAGCTTTACCAGGTAGGTGGAGGGGATATGGCGGGTGGTTGGAGGGTGGGCAAACAATTCAGAGATTTAGCTGTCTAGTTTTAGTTTCGGTAGGAGTTCTACGTTACTTGCTATGCAAATAGGTGGCGAAGATTAGAGGTGTGAAACTGGGCACTCTTGTGACAGGTGGCCTTCTTACTCAGTGTCATTATAATGTTTAAAAAAACACAATTATTGTTATTATTATCATTATTATTACTATTATAATTATTAGCTGTCTCACGGGCATTAGCAGTGTAGCGGTTTGGGGCTTCCCTGAGCGCTTGAATGCTGGAGGCCAAAGCTCAATTCCTTACTGGAGAGAAGTTTTTATGGCGTATCCCATATCCCAGTCATCGTTCAGGGATGTTGTATCGCTCTCAGCCCAGGTTGGCCCTGACAGGCAGGGTCAGGGTCAAAAACCTGACTCCTAAATTATGTAAATTTTGTTGATGAGGGCGTGAAAACACCTACATTATTTAGACATTTTTAAAAGAAAAGGAAAAAGAATTTAATCATGTCTCATTTTCTGATGCCTTATCTTATGTTGCTGTTTCTTATTTTATCTAATCTTGCTTTGTCTCTTCTCTGATCTTGTCCCCCCCCCCCTCACCCCCAACAAA